CATTGACAAAGCCAGCTTCTCGGGTTTTTAGTCACAATCTGGGAGATTGGAACCCCGGCAAGGCAAGTGACGGTCTCTCAGCTTTAGGACTTAAATCCTTGGGCGCTGTCCTGGAGCGAGGTGAGAACAATGGCCCTTTGAAGATCCCAGTTTTGAGTTTCTACGGCTTTGCCTTGTGGCCTCAGTCCCCTCCTTTCGCAGTGAGTCTGGGAATGCGCTAGCTGCCACGCACAACCCTCCAGGACTGGCTGCTACGGAGCTATAGAAATTCGAGACAGGCACGGATCTGTAGGCGGAAAACAAAAGTGGCACTAATCGTCTGGTCGCTTCCCTCCTACCCTGCTCCCCCACCCTTACCCCCCAGATCGGGTCCTAGAAGGCGGCGCCACAGACCGGGGACTCCCCAGGTCTAGCTAGGAGGCGGGGTCGGAGCCTACCCAGCAAAAAGGCTCCCTTTAGCAGAGAGGGGGGACCCGCCTGTAAATAATACCCGGGGGCAGGAGAAAGACTCCCATTGGCCGGAGGGCAGGTGACGAGCAGGGGGCGGACTCCCGGGAGGGGGCAGTCATAGGGAGGGGGTGTGAGCGGCGCGGTGTCAGTTTTCGGAATCCCAGCGCGCACTGCTCGGTGCAGCGGGACCCCAGCCCGGCTCAGTGCCCCGGCTGCTGTCTCCTCGGCTGGGCGTCGCGGCCCACTCCGCTGCCCTCCCGGCCTGGGCCTTTTGCGATTACCCTCGGCCGAGCTTCGCTCCGAAAGACTTTGTTTCCTCCTCTGCCCTCTTTGTTGCTCTGCAAACCGGCCTCTCCACAGCATCTGACTCCTCCGGGAGTTGCATCTCCAGCCCGGCTGTCGCCGTGCATAACCCCGCCAGGTCTCAACACCCCGTCTCCGTTCGCCCCGGGAAGCCGTCCTTGACTTCATTGATGCACCCATTTCAGTGGTGTAACGGTGAGTCCCCGGTCTGGCGGGTGAGCGGACACCGCTCAGAGCCAGGTCCTGAGCCAAGTTTCGCCGTCCCAGAGAGGTCCTGGCGTCCTGCGGTGCTCTGCACAGCGCGCAGTTTGAAACGACCCATTCTCAGTATCTGGAGATAAAAAGGGTCTGGAAGCAAGTGGAGGGCTAGGGGCGTGTGAGCCGAGGGCTTCCCGGCCTTTGTGTGGCGGTCCGGCTCTTCTACCCCCTTCGCCTGCCTTTGTGCGCTCTCAAACTCTGTTCTTTGTTGTGGTGGTTGGAAAATTAAATCCGCGCTCGGGCTAGAATCTCCTAGAGGGAGCTCAAGTTCCGGCTCTGAAACTTTGCAGGCTCTTTTAAATATGTATACAGTGCAACGTGCAGGACCCGGTCCGGGGTGACTTTCCCCATCTTTGTTGGTTCCCACCGGCTTCCAGGGGCAGGATTAAAGAGCATCAATACTGAATAGATAAAGCCTTGCAGATTATTGCTGGGCCCCCAGCTCAGGGCTGGCCTGGCAAGAGTTTCGCTTTCTGGCAAGGAGGCCAGACCGCGGGGTCTGCTTTTAGTCTAGATGGTGACAGCGTCTCTATGCACAGCCAGCCACCCGCCACCAACCCCTATCCCACACTCCACCGGGTAATGATGCTAAATTAATTCACCTGAGGCTTTTTTGGTGGCTCAATTGTTACGGGTTAAGAGCGGGTCTGGATTCCCCGTCTAAGGAGCTGATGAATCTTTCTGAGACAGTCACTTATGCTTTAGTTGTTAAACCACCCACCCTTTCCCTGCAGGGATCCCCAGAATCTTGGCCACTTTTTTCTAGACGTGAAGAGTTGGGCGAGGTGAAAAGCAGCTGGAGGGGTTTTTTTTTGTTTTGTTTTTGTTTGTTTGTATGGTTAACTGGTTATTCAGAGGGGGAAAAAAAATCTATTCTTGGGTAGATTTCTGCCAGATCTTGGATTAATTATTTCAAGAGTCTTTTGTTTTAAAGGCAGAGTTTCGGCTGCATGTGTATGAGTGGCCCCAACCCCCCACTCATCCTTCCTCCTTTTGCTAGTCAGATCTAATTTCCTGAAAATGTACCAAGCTGTGTGTGATAGGCGGGGGATGGGGGTTGAGGCTGACGGTGTGTCCCAGCATCTGGGAAAGATTCCCTTTGGCTGGAAAGAAGCAGTTCCCAGATCTGCTGGTCTTGGCCAGACCTGCTCTGACGTCATTCCTACTTGCAGCCTGCCAGCTGAGATGCTGTGGTGTCAAGACAATGGACCAGAGACTTAGGGAGGGCTAAGCTGTCAATAACCCCGACTTTCTTCTGAGCAGTTCCCTTTGAAAACTTGCACCTTCCCTGCCCCACCCGCATGGTGTGGGACCCAGGCCTTGCTCATTCTAAACAATTCATACTCCATCACTGACCTGCAATGCACCCTGTCTTTATCTTGCACTTTTTGTTTTGTTTTGGTTTTTTGTTTGTTGTTTTTCGAGACAAAATTTCCTCTGTATAGCTTTGGAGCCTGACCTGGAATTCGCTCGTAGACCAGGCTAGCCTTGAACTCACAGAGATCGGCCTGTTTCTGCCTCCCAAGTGCTGGGATTAAATGTGTGAGCCACCACTGGCTTATCTTAATTGGAAGATCCCTCTCCTGACTCCAGAGGGAATGCGATTCATTTCTGCCCCCTTGAAAAACCTCTTAGAGACCCTGTATCTGGGATGCATATTCTTTTACATTAAAGCTATATTCTTTGACATTAAAGCTTCAAAGAAAAACTCTACTGTCCAATCTGGACAATAACTATTTTTTTCCATTTCTCTTCAATAGTATAAGTTGAACATTCCCAATCTGAAAATTAAAATTCCTGGAAAGTTCAAATTATATAAAATTCAATGTGAAATCACAAGAGACAGTTTCATATCATTAAACTTTGCTCTGTACACAGAATTTCTTAAAATGTGTAATGTATTCTTCAGGCTATGCGAACAAGGTGTATATAAAACATAGGATGAATTTCACATTTAGGCTTGAGCCCTGTCCTGGAGATACCAGACTATGTACAAATATTCTAAGGGAAAAACATTTCAAATCCTCATGAAGTGGGGTATTCAAGCCAGGCGGTGGTGGTACATGCCTTTAATCTCACCACTTGGGAGACAGAGGCAGGTGGATCTTTGTGAGTTCAAGGCCAGCCCTATGTACAAGAACTAGTTCCAGGACAGACTCCAAAGCTTCAGAGAAACCCTGTCTTGAATCCCCCCCCCCAAAAAAAAGAAAAATTAAAAAAAATGAGGTGGGCTTTCACCATCACCCATGCTGGCCTCAGAAAAACTCTGCCTGAACCCATCAGACTGCTGGGGTCACATAAGCTACTATGACAGCAGGCTGTTGTGTAACAACGCTTTTTCCTGGGGAGATGCACCTTGCAAGTCTATTAACACCCACCCTGGCATTCTACCACAGGCCAAAATACAGGCACCACTGAAGTCCAACTTGGGTGAGCCAATGAGTTTCATTGGGGTTACTTACAGGAATATGGGCGAGCAGAAATGGTTCAGATAGCTATATCACCAAAGCCCACCCCAGCATGGGTGACAGCTCACAAAAGCTGAGAAACCTGGAGCACACTGCACAGCCAGCAGCTCAATAGGTGACCTGGTTGGGCTAAACCTCTTCCAGGTAGCTGGTCTGGTTTTCAGAGTCTTTTGCAGCTCAGCTTCCTTCGGAGTTCAGATTCTCAGCTTTCATTGTTTACTCTGGTGGGGAGGGGCCTGGTGCATCTGTTCGGTTTGAGGGACTTCCTGAAGCTATCTGAGTTGTTCACCTTCCTGCAAAAGAAAATGTTTTAATCTCAAAGAAACTATTACGCAATGCAGGCTTGAACATTTACTCTTGAAGCTGCCTCCTTATACATTTCATAAAGTCCCAAGTTCGCTGGTCCAGTCTTGGAGCCCCAGAGAGAGCCTTTTAGAAGATGGGAAAAGATGGAGATAACTGATCTAGGACTGCTGGAACCAAAGTACAAAAACTGTGTGCAAGTGTAAACCCTGCACACACAGTTCTGGTTTTCCAGAATAGAAATAGACGTTCTTTAGGACCCAGTAGATACCAGAGTCCTGCTTAAGTAAGGTCCATAGAAAAGCCATGGCAAAAGTGAGGATGCTGACCCTCTTACAGTATCAGATATTTCTGTGGTAGGATGAAGGAGGCTACTGGCTGTACAAGGTCCTGTTGGTCCTGAAAGGATGCTGGGGCAGGTCTAGCATGATAGCTTAGAGTTTCCCTGAGAAAGGCCCACAGAAGGCAAATCCTCAAGTGGGAATCAGTGATGAAATTGGTATTCTTCCTAACCCTCCAGTGGAGCGTAGAAGCAAGAAACATCCTCTTGAGCAAAGCAAGTGTTAGGAGCTAATTGCTTCTTTAATCTCCCCTAATTGAAAATTCATTCAGAACAAGAGCTTCTTTCGCTTTCTGTTTCCCCCACAAGGTCTAGGTCAGTGTACCAAACACACCCAGAACAAAACCTGTTGGTTGACTGGTGATTTATTAGCTGAGGGCAGTTTCTGGGCAGTTTTCCCAACCATCAGTCTTCCTTCTTTGAAGTAGGAGCTTTTGCCAAGAAGACTAGGTTGCTTTGAGAAAACAGGGATCTGTCTGTTAACTAGCTATATAGACAGATCAAACATTAGCTCAGGGCACTGCCGAGTGCTTAGGAGTCCAAGTTAGTATTCCCAGGCCTAGGAAGATTCGGGCTTGTTAGGACACTTAATTCCCTGGCTCTTTCTTTGCTCTCAGAATGATAGACTCACCTCTATTATATAACATCTCACTGTGTCAAGGAAAGTGCTTGAGTCTCTTTCCTATATGGAAAGTCATCCAATCCTCTATGCACTGGATTATTCTTAATCTTAACTATCATGCTTATCATATAAACAATGCAGCGTGCCACAAAAGTCAGTTTAAGTTGATACTAGCAACAGTGGTGTAACAAGGTATTCTGAGCAAAACCCATGGCAGGTGATGCAAGTCCTTAGCATTGGAGAATTCCACGACAGAGAGATCACTGGAGTATCCTAAAGATCATGGCAGGGGCTGAGGATTCATCTCAGTAGACCACAGCCTCAGCATCAGGAAGGAAAATTCTCACGAAGACCAAGACTAGACCTCAGAAAGGAAAGAATTCTAGGCAGAGAAGGTGCCATAGACAAAGGTATGGAGACAATGACATGGTTGGGCAAGATTTAATAAGACTGGTCCAGATGGAGAACGCTCACAGGATATTGCAAGGGGGCAGGTGCATGTTCGTATAGACTTGAAACCAGACAGGAGTTTGGAAATTACATGGTAAGTGGAGTTAGTAGATGTGCCAGACGTATAGGATAATTAGAGAACCTAGAAATTGTGGTGACATCAATAAGACAGGAATAAGTGTGTGAAGTAGGAGTGTGGCAGTAGGATGGGTCATAGTCTTTGACTTTTGAATGAAGGCTTAGGTCATCCATTGGTGCGGGAGAATTGTCTGTATTCTGTCAATCATGTATTTTAATAAAACGTTGATTGGCCAGGCAGGAAGTATAGGTGGGTCAACCAGACAGGAAGTGGAGGCAGGGCAATGAGAATAGGAGAAGGCTAGGGAGGAGGAAACTTCCTCAGCCACTCCTGCGCAGACCACTGAAGAGGCAGCATGTAACTTGCCCAGCTGAGAAAGGTACGGAGCCATTATGGCTAACATAGATGAGAATAATGGGTTAATATAAGTTATAAGAGTTAACAAGAAGCCTGACCTAATGGGCCAATCAGTTTATAACCTTATGGTGTCCCGTCTGTGATTTTCTTTGGGGTTTGCCAGCTGGGGGGTACCGGGCGGGACGGAAACCCCAACAAGCCGGCCCCCTCATGTTACAATCCATTGACAGAAGAGACAGAGGAATGACGTGTCTCGTGTGACGATTTTGTCATCACTGACAGAATCGTAATCATACATGACTCAGAAAATCTTTAGCTCATAGCTTTTTAAGATTTAAGTCTATCAAGAAGGGAGGTTGTAGCTTTACGTCATGGGGACCAAGAAGCAGAGAGAAAGAAGGGTCACCATTGAAGCCTACTGCAGGGTGGCCTCAAGTCCAGACCATAACACTGTCACAACCGATTGCTGTCTCTGTGGCTGTTCTGCTGCAGTTGTGGTAGCACTCACTTGTGGAAATTACCAGGTAGAATCCTAGCTCCTAACCAAAGAGACAGGAGAGAACCTAGCCCCTGAGGTCTGGAAGGAACTGGGAAAGTAAAAAGGCTGGGAGTGGAGAATGTGATTGGTGATTTGTCGGAGATACCACTCTTTAATGCATTTGGCTATTCTCTTCCCAGCTCTGTCTTATCTATACCTTCCCGACATGTCTGAGGTGATATAAGAAGGATATATTTCCTTAAAGGAATTTGATTTTATTTGGGGGGGGCAGGGATATCACTGAATAGCCTGCGCTAGCCTAAAACCCTTGATTCCCTTGTTCCAGCCTCCTGAGTAGACACTTCCCAGATAATTGGGGTTATAATGTTATGTCATTGTGCCCAACTAAGAAAATCTTGCCTTTTTTTTTTTTGAAGACTTTCTTTGGTTTATTGCCCAGAGTCTTTCTTGAGTTCATACCCACTTCAACATCAAACATGGGCAAGGGAAGCTGATGGCGGCCTCTGAGACTGGAAGCAGCAAGTTTTTAGTGCTTCTGAATTGACTTGTGCAGGAGGATCTCCAAGGATCTTTTTGTTTGTTTTTTGAAACTCTGTTTCTGTTACAGTCCTGGTTGTCCAGGAGCACTTGTTTGTAAACCAGGCTAGCCTTGAACTCACTGAGAGCCTCCTGCCTCTTCCTCCCAAAGTGCTGGGATTAAAGGCGTGTGCGCCACCACCGCCCAATCCTCCAAGGATCTTCTTAATGAATCCAGTTCATTAAGTGTGTTATAGGCCCAAGACTGCACAATTTTAACAAGTTCTTAGGGGATACACTCGAGGATGGAACCTTGAGGCTGTGAGTAGAAATGTGGCCACTCAAGGAAGCTGCCATTCCCTGGCAGCAGTCCTCATCACCACCTTGTGGAATGCCGGCCTAGACTTCTAGTGAACGATTCTTTCCGGTCCGGTTCTGATACGTGGTTAATAGTGACGGATTACCTCTGCGATTGCTCTTTGCATTTGTTTCTTTTTACTTATTTATTTTGTTTTTTTGAGACAGGGTTTCTCTGTAGCTTTGGAGCCTGTCCTGGAACTAGCTCTTGTAGACCAGGTTGGTCTTGAACTCACGGAGATCCGCCTGCCTCTGCCTCCCAAGTGCTGGGATTAAAGGCGTGCACCACCGCCGCCCAGCGCGTTCATTATTTCTTAAACCATCATTTCTATTCTGTTTTGCAAGTTTTCCTATAATGAGGTTAGTTCTATAGCAATAACTCATTGAACATCACAAGCTTAGGAGACTTGGGTCAAGACTCAAACAATGTGTTTTCTCCCCGAAGGCTCATCTTTTTACTATGTACTCAGTGTGTCTCCTACTTGGAGGCAGTTTTGATATTTTCTTTTCTCTACCTTCTACCCTTGCCTAAATTCTTTGTTTTTTGAGACAGAGTTTCTTTGTAAAGTCCTGCCTGTAGACCATGCTGGCCTTGAACTCAGATCCACCTGCCTCTGCCACTGGAGGACTAAAGGCGTGTACCACCATACTAGACTTCTAAATTATTAGTCCATTTAAGTACTTTGCCTAACATTCCATTTCATAGATTTATTGAGTAGTTTATTCAGGACCTTGTATTCAGAAGTTAGTGCTGAGATCTAAGTTAAAGGTGGAGCCTGTATTCCTGTTAACACTGTGCCACGGGCCCCAGTGGTAAGCGTCTAACTTTAGTATTCTTTGCCTCTTGCTTTGCAGGGTGTTTCTGTGGCCTGGGACTGGTTAGCACCAACAAGTCCTGCTCAATGCCACCTATCAGTTTCCAAGACCTTCCCCTCAACATCTACATGGTCATCTTCGGTACAGGCATCTTTGTCTTCATGCTCAGCCTCATCTTCTGCTGCTACTTCATCAGGTTGGTTGCTGGCTGGCTGATCTGGGGAGGGAAACGAAGAAGGATGGATACCAGGGCCTGGAGGGTATTAAGCAAGTCAAGTGCATGAGTCCGTGTGCGCACACACACCAGAGCTTTGTGCTAGAGCCTCTGGTGGAAGGATATACATTAGCCTGCCCCTCTGGACTCTTGAGGCCTGCTGTTTCTATTTATATCCGCCTATCAAGTTATCCCAGAGCACATAAGGTCACTGGTTGGACTGCATTCCACCAGTTGGCCAGTTATTCTAAGGCTGTCTAGAATGACTGTTAACTGAGTGATAAAGCCAGCACTCTTAACCTGCTTCCCCCTCACAGCCAGGGAGAGGTCGGTCGGTAGGTATCGGTTCTTTCGTTCTCCTGTGAAATTGCCAGTTCTTCCAAGGCTGATGTTAGCAAACTTATATGGAAAACTCCTTGTTTACTGTCTTTCTTGTCAGCTTTTACTTTTGAGAGCAGAAAGAAAGAATGGCACTTACTCTTAGTTGTTTAGGGATCAAGGAAAGGACTTTCGCTTGGCTGGGGTAGCTGGGCTCCAGGAACTGTTTCTCCTTATGGTGAAGGACATAGAAAACTGAGGAGATGGTTCAGTACCTAAAGTGCCTGTATCAGGGGTGGAATTTGAATACCAGAACCTGTGTTGATGCTGGGTGAACACTGGCCCCAGGTAATTCCTGCCCTGGAATGTGGAGTTAGGATGTCTAGAGCAAGCTGGCTACCTAGACCAACCACCTAATGGAGCTCTGAGTTCAAGGACAAAAACTTCCTCAGTGAATATGATGGAGAGCCACTGAGGAAGACTTCCTGTGTCAGTCTCCTACATATACACATGTGTGCTTACACACATGAATATGAGTGCATGCACATGGGGAAAGTGTTGCGCATGCTTGGTACTTAGAGTAGAAACCAAAGCAGCGTGCTAGTGGGGTGTTCTGTTGGTACTTACTGTTCTTTGTCCCATGGGTCTGCCCTGTACGTTGGAGACAATAGGGCATCTCTGGTCAATAGAACATGTTAATAGTCCTTGGAGTCTTTGTGACAACTGGCCCTTTCCCTGGCACACACATTGCCTCATGCCTGGAGAGACACGGGCAAGGTAGGGTCTAATCAAATCAGTTAGGAAATTAAAAGCCAGGAGTCTTGGTACCTTGCTGGGATTCTCTGCTGGAGGATGGTGTCTATCTGAAAGGCAGATGCTTGGAAGTACATGAGCCAAGCACAGCACCCACAGCCCATGGCTACTGTGGGGCTCTTCAGAACCTTCCCAAACAGGGTCTTTTGTTTTGTTGGCTTTTTGAGACAAGAGTTTCTCTGTGTGGCCCTGGCTGTCCTGGAACTCACTTTGCAGACCCAGCTGGACTTGAACTCACCTTGACCCTTCCCGAGAATCGAGTTAATTGCTTGATAAAGGGCTTGAGGGAAAAGACCAGTAAATAAGAATGGTTTGTGGAGGGAAGCATAGGGATAAGGAACATTAAAGAGGATATAGAACAGAAAAGAGGGTGTAGAACAGAAAAAAAGTGTTCCCACTTAGCAGCTAAATGTGGGCTTTGCACTAATTTTATCAGAGGAAAAAAATCAAGCCCTATTTTCCTCGCATCCTTAGGTGGAGAAATTCAAGTTTTAAAAATCTGTTTGGAGGCCAGGCAGTGGTGGTGCACACCTTTGATCCCAGCACTCGGGAGGCAGAGGCAGGCGGATCTCTGAGTTCAAGTCCAGCCTTGTCTACAGAGTAAGTTTCAGGACAGGCTCCAAAGCTATAGAGAAACCCTGTCTCAAAAAAAAAAAAGAAAGAAAAGAAAAAGAAAAAGAAAAAGAAAGAAAAGAAAAGAAAAAAAGAAAAAGAAAACAAAAGCAAAAAATCAAAGAAAAAATAAGAAAACTCTATTTCTTTAGTTGGTCCCTTTACACACACACACACACACACACACACACACACACACACACACACACAATGGCGCTGAACGGAAGAAAATCCAGAGGCTAGCACTCTGACCAACAAGCAGATAGCTGAAGTCCCTTTCCTAATTGGCACTAACAGGCGTGACCTTGCGTTTGGGGCTAGTCTTTGCTGAGGGCTTTCTTGTGTCAGGCATTGTGGTAAACCATTTAGCTCACTTAATTCTGTGAACAAGCCTCCAATGTAAGGGTTAGGGAACTGCATAAATGAAGACATTCATGTCTGGACAGTTGAGAATTTGTCCAGGGAGATGCTGAGGTGGGTTAATCTGACAATTTAGCCCTTCATGCTCTCCTCCCTGCTTGTCTTTTGTGTGTCTTCTTTCTTGCGTGGGAAGTAGAGTCTGCAGCTGAGCCCTCCATGGCCAGCCCCTTTCAGCTGGGTGTCGGGGTCCTATAGAAGACAGGCTAGGGTTCTGTCTGTTACTGATTTGTTTTGTTTTGGCTGTAGCAGAACAGAGAGAGTCGTGACCACGTGGTACTAAAAGCCGTCTCTACTGTGGTGCAGCGCGGTGCCATCTGTCCTCTCGGCAGTGTCCGGCTCCTTCACCGCCCCACCCTGTGTGCTGTAGCCTGTCCAGAGCCAGCTGACCCCTGGGTCTCATGGTTCCAAAGGCTCGCTGGCATGTGGCGTGTGTGTCTATATATAGAAAGACACACAGGCACACAAGCCACTTCCTCTCTCTGCTTCTCAGTTTCCACCTCAGCCAAAATAGGTCCGTGACTGCCACTCCTGACCCGGTGAGCTCATGAGCCAAGGACGCCTCAACTGCCAGCTGCCCGGGGTCTCTCCTCTTTCTCCTCAGAGATGACTTGCTTACACAGGATGGAGGGGTCAGTGGGATACAAACAGGCAGGAAAGGAACAATTATTTTCAGGAGCTGGCTGCATTGTTTTGCTCTCAGAGGGAAAAGAGGGAAGAGAGAGCCTGCTGGTGGTAGCTTGCAATGTTCTCGCTGAAATCGTGGTATTTTTAGTTGCTTTGCTCAGCCAGCAGCTGAGAGAGCCACCTGTCCAGAGTTCTTGGCTCTCCATCCCTAGCTGGGACGGCCCAGAGTATGCTTTCTGCTGTTTTCTGTGCAACTATTTGAGCCCCATCCCCTCACGACCTAATCCTTCCTGAGCCGAAATAGCCACGCAGGATGAAAATGGAGTTTTGAGGGTTTGGGTTCCCTCCATTAAAGGGAGCCTGCCATACACAATAAGTGAATGGACCCCAGGAACCCCAGTGGTCATAAAGTGAAGCACATGTTGCACAAGTGTATCAGTGTTGATGGGGAGGCAGTTGAACCTTTAAAAGAATGCGTGGCATTCTCTCTTAAACTTCTACCCCCAGACAAGGGTGGAATGTTGCTCAGTGACCTAGCAAGCATTTGGTCCTTAGACCTAGAGGGCAGGTTAAGAATGAGCTCAAGAGTGCAGATGAACTGGGTTATAGCTAAATGGGAGAGTGCCTAGCAAGCACATAATCCTAGCATCTCAGAGATTGAGGAAGGAAGATCAGAAGGTCAGGGTCATCCTTGGCTGCATAGCAAGTATTGAGGCTAACCTGGGTTACATAAGACTCTCAAAAACAGGAAAGAAGATGAAAGTTTTTTTTTTTTTTTTCTAAAAGAAAAACCACACACAACACGGTCAGGTAATAGCTCATCCGTGCTTCGGACACACCCTTCCCTGTCCAGCTCCTTTGGGAGCTGAGAAGAAGACAAACTTGCATGATGTATATGGAAGCCTTTCCAGAACTAGGATTAGACAGTTGGGAGTTAGTCCAGGCCTGAAAGTGAGCAGAAAGCACACTGTAGAGGGGGCAGGAGGGGGGTGGCGGGGAAGGAGGGGCAATGGCAGTGCTGCTCAGCCCCAAGCCCTGGCAGGAGTCCACCTGGCTGGGACTTTCCCAGAGGCTCCGGAACATTCAGCCTTGCCAGACCACGTGACTTCCTGTCAGAAAGGATGGAGGAGGCAGGTGGCCAGATCTTATCGGTCCTGACCCACCTCTCAGGCAGGGCTCTGCGCTCCCTTCTTCGCCACCTTGGGAGGAGCTGCAGCCACAGAAATGAGGTGATCTGTTTTCCTCACTCAGGCCAGCAACCTTTTTATTCGCGGGCTTTCTTGGTTGTGGAGTCTCACAGACACCCAGCCATGCTCTGATGCCGCTATAGCCGGTTCCAAAGGCAATCACGGACAATTCAGAAACTGATGGGCCAATGGCATTTTAGAAAAATGAATTTTTTTTTCCTTTGGTAGTGCAGGGAATCAAAACCAGGCCTTCATACGTGGGAAACAAGTGCCCTGCTGCTGAGCTAAAATTTCGGATTGTGAGGTGAAAGTTTATATACTGGGAGATGTTATTTTCCTATTTTTACATAGTGAAGAATAAAAGCTGTTCTTAGCCTGTCGATTCTGTAAGAACAGGACTTGGCCCTACTCCAGTATAGCCAGGTTTCCCTCCCATACTCCAGCCAAACCTATGTTAGAAGTGCTGGGTGTGTAGCTCTGTGGTAAAGCATGTATGCAGTAAATATAGTATATATTAAATATATGCTTTTATCATTGCTATGAAAAATGCCTGATTTGATTTGTGGTCTCAGATGGTTTCATCCATGGTCACGTAGTCTCAAATGCTTAAGCAGAAAATTGTGGTGGCAGGAACTTGTGGCAGGGGCTATTTGTCAATTCTTACTGGACAAGAACAGAAAGTAGAGAAAACAGCAGGGCCAGGGTAAGATTCCTCTTTCTGCAATCTTCATTGATGCCACTGTACCATGAATCCATTGGAGGATTAGGTTAAAACTCTCATTATTGGATTATGTCTGGAAATGACATCATAGACACACCCTGAGATATATTTTACCGAATACTGAGATTAAGGTTTTTTTGTTTTGTTTTTGTTTTTGTTTTTTTGTTTTTTTTTTTTTGAGACAGTGTTTCTCTGTAGCTTTGGAGCTTATCCTGGAACTAGCTCTTGTAGACAAGACTAGTCTCAAATTCACAGAGATCCTCCTACCTCTGTCTCCCGAGTACTGGGATTAAAGGTGTGTGCCACCACCGCTGGCTTTTAAGGTATTTCTTAATCAAATTAACTTGATCATTATAGCATGCCTAGGGCACTGGGGTTAATTCCTAGCTCTCAACAACAGCAAAAAAAGGTGAGAGACAGTTCTATGCCCATGTATGGGAGGCCGTCCACCTACCTGCAGCTGGGCACATAGCTTAGGACTATGGTCCCAATTCTTTTTGAAGGTCATGAATTTGAAGTCCATCTGGGCTGTGTGTAGAACTCAGGAAGAATTTCCCCATTGATGTAAGATGGCAGAGTCAGTGTCTATTCATGTTTCTAGCCATCTGTACAGTGGGTCACCCGAAGTCAAAGGCTTAAAAAAGCAAGCAGGTATCTCACAATCAAATAAGAACTTAGGACTCCAATGTATTCCACCTAATTGCAGAGGCAGGGGGATCGTGCTCTGTGGTAAACAATATAGGCGCCCTAATCACAGAGACTGACTTCTATTTAACCCAGGAGCTGCTCCCCATCATCTCTGTAAAGTCTGGGCAACTTGCTTGATTTCTTTGGGGTTCATTTGTTTTTTTCGTCTATAAAATGGAAAGCTCCTCCTTCCTGTAGTCACTTGGATTCAGTGAGACAATGTCAATCTCCAAGGGACACACAGCAAACCTGGATGGACTATTTATTACACCATTGTTATGAGTATCAACATGCTGTGTTTTGGCTATTGAGTGGCTGTGTTCAGGCAAGCAGTTAAAAAATATCTAGCTCCTTTGGCACATAGTAAGAATACAGTTGATCTCCGTAGTTTGTATACCTGGAGGAATTTACCGACTGGGAAAAGGCAAAGAAGGCAGATAAGCCATATAGGATGCCCTACTGGAGAACAACCCAGAATGTGACTGGGACCTGCTAATAAAGCCTTCATCCTTATCTCTGGTTGGCTTGCATACATCTGAACTATGCCCCCATTGGCATCTATGATAAGTACCTGTTTCATCTCCAGAAAAATGTCCAAGCAGTCAGCCTTCACATATACTGTCATTGTCTATGTATCTTTAAAAAGAAAGAGAAAGAAAAGAAAAGAAATGGTAATCTGCCCTCTCCTCTTTCTTTACCTAGTAAACTCCGGAACCAGGCACAGAGCGAACGGTACGGCTATAAGGAGGTAAATACTGTCTCTTTGCATTAAACTTTCTCCTCACCACTTGCCCTGATAGGGAGAGCAAGCCCAAACTTCCATAGCCTACATTCCCTTACCTCCTGGGCATCCTGGGGGCCTACCACTCCTGCCGCTGTCCTCAAGTTGGGTTTGCCCTTCATCTTCATGGAGAGAGAGGGGGTCGCATCATTCGGTGAGCCTCTCTGGTCTCTGTAGTTGGTACCTACAGACATCTGCTGCGTCTTTCCTCCTCAGGTGGTGCTTAAAGGTGATGCCAAGAAGTTGCAGCTCTATGGGGTAAGTGTCTTGGAATAACGTTTGGGAGGATCCTGCTTAGAGCATCTTTCTCCAGCTCTTTGCTTGGACCTTCTCCAGACTCTTTAGTCCCTGCCTTCAGGTTCCTGTGTCCAAACAGAAGGACTTCAACCCAGTAGGTAATGCATTTTTGTCTAGAGTCAGATAAGGCATGAAACAAAGGGATCACAAAAGACTCGAGATAAATGGCAACAGGGTGTCACGGTCTCTATGTCATAGACAATGTACTGTGTAGACATCTGTAAGGATGTCACAGGTTCTAGGCCATAAGCAGTGTGCAGTGTTGAACCTATACAGGTGGCTTTAGGCTCTATGCCATAGGCAATATGCTGGGCAAAATCTATGTGTGGTCATAGGCAGTGTGCTGTGTTGACTCTTTAAGGGTGTCACATGCTCTTTGGCATAGGCAGTGTGCTACTAACTTTCCCTTTATTCAGAACCTGTACTCTGGTCTATGGCTAAAGAAAATAAGGTCCTTTAACTCATGTATATGACATTGTCCTAACAGATCAGTGACTTGTATACCTTGCAATAGTTCTGGCCTGTCTCCCCTCCATCCTTTCCCCAAACCCACCAATATAAGACCAATTCTATTGGGTCTCTCAACTTTGACCTTTTTATTTCAATTAAAATGTAATTATATCGTTTCCCCTTTCCCTTCTTTCCCCCACCCCCCTCTTCTAATGGACCATTTCCCGACCAGTCCCCTCAGCCTTTGAGGTTACCTAACTCATCTCCCAAGGCTTCTATCCATAGCCACAGACACCTTAACCAGCGAGTGAGCCGTCTGTGGTTGTCTGAAAATGAGGAGGATTCCAGCATCACCAAACATGAGACTCCCTAGACATGGCCTCATTTTACTCTTGGTTTTCACGTTGCTACCACACCTCCGGTCCTTAAAGTAATTTCAGGGGTTTCCTAAGCCTTTTGCAGTAGTTCAGCTGAGATCGCAGCGTTTCATAAATCGGGTTGTAATTATGGATTTAAAGAATGTAACAGCACATATATCTGTATTCGTCAGAGTTCTCAAGTGGAACAGAACTGACAGAATAAATATATATTAAGGATTTATTAGAATTGCTTACAGGCTGTGGTCCAGCTAGTCCAATAGTGACCGTCTACTGAAAGGACTAAGAATCTAGTAGTTGTTTAATTCACAAGACTGGATGTCTCAGCTAGTCTTCATTAGATTCTGGAATCTCAAAGAAGTAGACTCTAATGCCAGTGAAGGAATGGGTCTGCCAGTGAGAGAGAGCAAGCAGGCAGGGCTGCTTTCTTCTTCCCTTGTCCACTAGCCTGCCATAGTGGCCCCAGAGTACAGGATTTCTCACCTTACAGATCCAGATTAGAAGTGGGTGATTTAGTTAAGAAAAAAATCTCTCACTGCCAGGTGGTGATGGGACATGCCTTTAATCCTAGCCTTCAAAGGCAGGCAGTTCTCTGAGTTCAAGGAGGGCCAGGGCTACACAGAGAAATCCTTCCTGTCTCAGAAAAAAAAAAGGAAGGGAAGAAAGAAGAAAAACTCTGAGGTGTGCCCAGCCATTTTGGTTTTAGTAAATTGCAGATATAGTCAAATTGACAGCCAAGATAGTCATGACATGACATCTATCCTACAGTCCTTCTTCTTATTACTATGTTCCTCCTTAGTCCATGCTGTAGGCTAGAATTTGAGACTGACAACGTCAATTCAAAATCTGTGTGTTCATAAGAATGTTCTGAGTCTATCCAATCTGGGAGCCATCAGTCATAGGTTATCTGTTGAGCATTGAAAATATGGATGACCTCCTCCAGGGTTTGAGAGAGCCTTAGAACGAACTCATACCAAAGTAGCCTGCATCTGCTAAATAGGCACCATGAGCACAACTCTCTCCTGAGCCAAAATGTATGCAGTGTAAATAGCTGGGAAGTTACCAGTAACAATAATAGCATCCATGTCTAAAGGGTACTGTAGGGATTTGATCGCACTATGGCTTGTTAGATGTAAGATTGTGAGAAGATGGTAGCTATTGAGTACCAGAGCAACCTAGAATGGTGTCGGCATGAGTGAACAGTGCATCATGGGAAAAGAATTGGCATGCATATAAACAGTAGCCTGAAAGTACTATCACAAATCTACAGTCCCAACACTAGGGAGGTGGAGGCTAAAAGATGAGAAATTTAAGGGACAGCCTTGGTTATACAGTGAGTCTGAGGTCAGCTTGGGCTGCTTGAGAGTCTGTCCACCCAAAGAGACAAAACCTAAAATAAATCTCTGCTCAAGGATGTTGAGCAGAGAGATCCATGTTTCCTCTCCCAGGGGCCTCATCACTAAGAGCAAAAATCAACACACACTCTTTAGTGTTTGATTTTGGTGCAGGGGATCCAATTTGGGATCTCACAAATGGTGTGCAAAACTCGACCACTGACCCATGTCCCAGCCCACATTTCCATAATGAGATAAACAGTGGGAGAAATGTGGCTTGTGCTGCTGAGGAGCCATGTTTATAATTTCTTCATTTGGTTGATTTCAGTTTAAGCAGCCGTGTTGGCTGTTATCCTGTCAATGCTGTGTTATAAATATGACTGAGCTTCTGCTGGCTGCTGCAGGAGGCAAGAGACTGGGCTGGAGTTTGGTTTCCTTGTTTGAAAATTCGATGGTGAATACTCAGGAGGGATGAATGAAGAGGGCCTCTAGACCCTTAGCTCACAGATTCTCTCTCTCTCCCCCGACTCCCATCCCCCCCTCCCTTCCTCCCTCCCCATAGCAGACCTGTGCAGTTTGCCTGGAAGATTTCAAGGGGAAGGATGAGCTAGGTGTACTTCCATGCCAGCATGCCTTTCACCGCAAGTATGTGGAAATGTGATTGTATGTGTGTTGTGGGGGGGGGGGTGTTTCTGTAGAGGAAAAATAATTAGGGGAGTATCTTTAAGAACCTTCTAATCCTGCCCATGTTGTTCAACAGTGATGCCCTAGGTTCAGCACCCCAGAGGGGTGAGCTCAGGGCAAGCACAGGGGTACTTTGTTCTCAGAAGCAGCTGGACTCAGAGACAGCTGGAGCCATCTGGAATGGCTCCTCGGAGATAACCGTCCTCTTGTTCACAGGTGTCTGGTGAAGTGGCTAGAAGTGCGTTGTGTCTGCCCCATGTGTAACAAGCCCATCGCTGGCCCCACAGAGACCACGCAGAGCATTGGGATCCTGTTGGATGAGCTGGTGTGAGCGCTACTTGGACGTGGACACTTGAGAAGACAGCTTACTTTGTGGACACTGGGGTTCCTCTATACAACGAACAAGACTTCTGGGTGGTGACATTCGTGCTTGCCTAAAGGCAAAGGTGACAGGGCTGGGCTTCCACCAGCAGTGCTGGACCAGTACCAGACTCGCCCCAGCTCTGTCTCCCAGCGTTTCTTTCCCTGTTACCTACCCAGTCCCAGTGGCCTCGCCCAGCCAGACTACTCTATCTGGTACTACACTATCTGCCTGCCTCATCCTTGCCCTGGGAAGGAGTCAACCCTGTGACTGTGGACCAGGATGCTTCCCTTTGGAGAACAAGCTACTCTGACTTGGAGGATGTGGCCCCGCCCCACCCATATCCCTTATTCCTGCCGGAGCCTTGGGATGGTTTAAAGGGATGGAAGGAAAGATTAAAAGAACCAAGAACTCAGCATGAAATAAAGGAGGGCAGGGCCCCAGAAAAGGGAAAAGTCGATGTTTACATGGGGTGTAGGAAACCAACGGCAGGGTGATGGGACCAACCATCTCCTGTTAGGATGTAAGGTGCTATCCATTCTCTCCCCGACCCTGGTTAATCTCAGAGCTTCCTATTCCTTGCTGGCTTTGAAGAGACCCCACTCTGTAGGAAGGAACTGTTTCTATCAGCACATTCCCATGGGGCTGTTATTATTATTATTATTTTGAAATGAAAAGAACCCTGGGATAGGGGTGTCGAGGTTACAATAGTGCGGACGTCTGCTTCCCTTTGTAAACAGTATTTTTATACTTCATCCTCACCATCTCAGGCTTTACGTACGCGGCCCCTCAAGGACGGAGGGGGTGGAGTCTCTTCTTCAGCCAAGCAGCTGAGAGTGGGAAAAGGTTATGTATTTAAAGAAAATTAAATTTAATAACATGTTTCTTTAATCAAATTTGGCTCGTGGTTGTGACCTGTGCCAGGAGCGGGACCTGAACCCTTCACCTTGCATCTTCCTCCTTCCAAGTCAGACCACACTTGGCCTTTCTAAGGCTTAAGATCTAATCCTTTTGAAAAAAAGAAAACTGAGGGCTGGGCACAGCTCAGTGGTAGAGTGCTTGGCTCTCATGCTCAAGGACCTGGGTTCAGGTTCCAGCAATGCAAAAGAAAAAGGATTAAACGCTGGTGTGAAGTAAGATCTGATGTAGCCAGGATTGATCACCAGGAGTTTTGGAAATGTTTTAAAATCGGATGTCTTCCCGTGTCATTCACCAACTAAGTCTTGGAACGATAGGATTCTCTCTGTAAGTTCAGTGCCCAAGACTTTGGAACCTCAAAGGTCCATGTAGCTACCCTCGGACCCAATCTCTACTACTTCTGTGTCCCTACAGACCCTGACCAGTAGTAGATCCTGGCCTCCTATCCCCCATTGAGAATTCCACATGGTGGCAACTTTTGGCCCAGATCATCTACCTGCGTCCTCCAACTTAGCTTTGCGGGCGCCTTTGCTCAGCTGACAGCAACACCAGGAGTGTGCCCAACCTTGAGAGTTGTCATGTGACCATTTCCCACGATTAACCAGACTTTTGGGAACCAAAGAATGCATTCTATATGAAGCTAATGTGGGGATGGACCGTAGGGTGGGATATGGGGGGAGGGGGCGGGGAAGTACTGTGTGGAGACCAGGAACAAAGGCTTTGATGCAGTAGCTTCCTGAAGTTTATGCAGATAAACTTAAAAACCCAAACCACTAAGCACCATCTGAGAACCAAGCTAATTATTTCTCCTCTGAGTCCCACATAGTCATAGGCAGCTACAACATGCCCAGTCCTACTTATATTAACAAAGAACTTACACCCTGAATGTGTCTGAAAGGGAAAAGGATCAGAGAAAGTTGTGTTGAACTAACTATATAGACCAGCTTTGATAACTTTGGGCTGGGCATAGCAGCACACGCCTTTAATCCCAACAGCTGGGAGGCAGAGGTGGACAGATCTGAGTTTAGGGCCAGCCTGTCCACATAGTGAGTTCCGACAAAGCCATATAAGTAGCCATGTACCTAGCCAGGCTATGTAAATAGACCCTGGTCTCACGCACACACAAGTTCTGCCGTTCCTCCTGATACTTCCTGCTCAACCCACCACAGCCAGGGGTTCCCTATCTTCACTAAAGTCTTTTATCCTTCAGTTTTGTCCCGTTTCCTCCTTCCCTGTCACTGGACCTCCACTCCATTGTCTCCGGTCTCTCTGAGCATCCGACTCCCACCCTCGCTGTCCCGGACATGTCACTCACAGCTCAACCTGTGTGCACAAGTTCAGAGGGACAAATGTAATTGATTTGGAAACAACCAGCTATACAAGCTTGTACAAATTCATGGCACATATTAAGCTGTTTATTGTTCCAACTCAAAGTTGCAATGGTGGATTGCAACTGAGCCAATGTAAGAAATTAAAAGTCATGCCCATTTCCTTTCTGAGGGAATGACATCAACTGTCACTTTGTGCTTTGATTCTATACCTCTGTGACAGCTCATCAAGACACTATTTGTGCTCCGCAGAGGAGTAGCTAGGGGGACATCAGCACTGGGAAACATTGTGGGGCACTTGATGGTTACTGAGTGTGGTCCGTCATGATCTCTTACAAAACAGCACATTTTTCTTCATCTTTGCCTATTGTCTGATATTACTAAGACTATCATATCCTTGTAGAATTCTCCAGATGAGTTGCTGTTACCATGAAAGGGAAACAGAAAACAACCCCCGCAAAAGACAAACCACAGGGATTGCTAAGGATTCATGCCTAAATGACGGTGTGAATCCCCACAGAGACTGAGTTCTAAATGTTCAATGAATAAGCATTATGTCTCAAGGTGCTGGTTTCTTCAAAGACATGAATAACATTTGTGATGACTGGAAGACTTTAAAAATTGAAGCATGAAGAGACCAATAAGAAGAAACTATTGGAACCCAAATCCGAAATGGAGTAATAAATGTCAGGGGATTGTTTCTGCTACTTGCCGCATTCAGATCTCTGTTGGGTTGATTCAGGTTCTGTGTCTATAGAAAGCCATGGATAGCTTAGAAAGTGGTGGAGGGCTTGGGAGTGTCATTGGTTGTGGAGCACTTACTTAGTTTGGGCAAGGCCCTAGAGTCTGTCTGCAGTGCCCCCTAAACAAAACACCCAGAAAGCAAGAAACTGAAGGATTGTGTCTGGAGGGAGGAGACCAAAGAACAAGGAAGCCACTGGTGGCCTTTAGTAAGCTGCTTTTGCTGTAAGCCATGCCCTTTTCCTTTCTGAGCTAGTGGGAGCACATCCTGCCTGCTCTCATTGCTGTGATCAGATACCCTACAAGACACATCATGAAGGAAGAAGGAATGATTCCTTCATGGTTCGAATGAGAGATGCAGCCCATTCTTATAGAAAAGGCACGGTGCTGAAAGGCTGTGTGGTGCTAGCAATGGGTGTCATCAGCAATCGAGACAGGAAGCAGATCCATGCTATAAAATCTCAAGGCTCACAGCCTTTCCTGCTAGGTCTCCATCTGAGGGTCCTAGAACCTATTCAAACAGCAATACCAGGTGGATTGGTTCAACCTGTGAACCTGTCAGGGACATTTCACTTTGAAACGGCAATGTATCCCTTCCTGAAATATTCAGGGACCACGGATCAATACCTTCCGCTCCATCCTTCTGCATTTGTTTTTTGTGTCACCCTGGATTGTCTTTTGTGTCACCAGAGACCTCACTACTGCTACCAGCCTGTCATCTGGGACCAGGTTGGAAGGTGGAGAGTTTAATGACATGTCCAAAGCTGAAGACATCTAGGTCCCCACGGTTATCCTGTCTGGCACCAGCTCTGTGATTCTACCTGGGAAATAAATCTGGACTCAACTTGTGTGGTCCCTACCTCCACCCTTTTATAGCGAAAAGGTTGTAGAGTGAACCACTTGAATTATTACAAGAATATTCTGCTATATCTATATCACACGTCTTTTCATCATCATTATATTTTCAATGCATTTCAAAGCAGGCTACAGATAATAGTACACTTCTTGTACCAATTTGTATAGGGAGCTGCTGCTGTTGCTGCTTATTTTGTCTGTTTATTTTTAGATAGTAGACTAAAGAACAATATCTTAAATACAAAGATGAGTAAGCTAGTCATGGCAACATACCTTTATGAAACTAGAATTCTTGGAAGCTCATTCAGGAAGATCAGGATCTCAAGGTCAGTCTGTGATACAAAGTGACCAAAACCTCAAAGGCTGAGAATGAAGATTAGCAGGTGGGGCTTCCCTAGCCTTGCCCAGTACGCCCAAAATAAAAAAAAATAACTTGCTGATTTTGAAGAGTATCTCTGAGTTCAAGGAGTTTTTTTTTTAGAATAACTCAAACATGAAATCATTTATTTACTATTTTACATTATTTATTTATTTACTATGTTTTATTTATTTACTATATTACATTATATAAATGTGCTAGGAATTGAAACCAGGGCTTAGCACCTACTGAGCATGTACCGTCCCTCTAACCCGTATTTTATATATAAAACTCCCCTAGTTTTATATTTGAAATTCAGTCATGGTAGTAAAGAGCTTGTCACTGACGCAGATAACTTTGGATCTTGTTAAATTACATGGTGTGTGTCAGAGAGGGAGGGAGGGAAGGAGGGAAAAGTCATTCAGAGTTGGAAACACCCTTCCTCGCCTCACACGTTAACATATCTTGCACAATTACCAATGAAGTCTTCTCACTTTGGACTTTATCCACACCCTAAATTTAGCAAGCTAGAATTATCTTAAGCACCACTTTGAGCAACCTTTTTGAAAGGAATGACAACAAGGGGGGAAAAATCTGTTTCCTCATGCTTAAAACGCAATCCCTGACTCGGTCATTCAAGCAAGGAGCAGAGTCTTATAAGCGACTCAGCAAAGAGAGACATGCAGAAAATCCATCACAGGTTTGAAAGGGCCAAAAGTTACACATTCATATTGAGACACAAGACGCCACAATGAATTACATCCTCTGCATGTTTGGGAAACTGTGTGCGTGGAGCTGAATAATGGCCTTCCGTGTGCCAGGGAGTTTTTCCTCATTATTTAGCAGGATTTTACATAGACTCTTTTGATAGCTAATGCAGCATTTTAAAAACTGCTGGGAAGTCAAAACCAGGACCTAGGTCATGCTACACAATCGCTGATCCCTGAACTGCATCCCTAGCTCTAACGCATTCTTTAAAATGGGATTCAAAGACATAAAACATTTAAATTTGCATACAAAATGGTAAGTTTATTTTAAAATGGGGTACGTGTATAAAATTAGAAATAATTTCCTTGAAATCTTACTTATGAAGAGAAAATCATAAAATGGGCACAGACGAAGGAGAGGACAGTTCTAAATTAGCTTACTCGGCTATCCCTTTTAAATGGAGAGATACTCCCAGGCTTGTGCAGGAACAATCTAACAGCTGCCCTTTCTCCCACCCCTTCCCAGCAAGGCTGAGTCTTTCAGCTTGCACACTAAACTAAACTAAACTCCGTGACCCCTGCCATACCCCACATGTGCGGTATCTTGGGCGCATCCTTCCCACAGAAGGCCCTCTGCTGGTTGTAGGCAGATGAAGCCTTCATTCCAGGTCACATATAGCTCTGCCCTCCCTCCCCTGTGCTTGAGGGAAAGGGGCTGTTCAAACCGATTTTTGTTACATGGTCTCTTCTTGATTATACTGGGATCTTCAGGCAGAAATTAGCTTTGTTTGCCAGTTTTAGAGAGAGGATCTCACCACATATGTACACACTAACCTTGAACTGGTGGTCCTCCTGCCTCATTGGCAAACACAAATGAATTTAAGTTCATTTGAGTTGTATAGACTTTTTTAAAAAATGAAATTTATGCCCTGGCAACGCTGAAGCATGCCTGAGCAGCCCGTATATGGCAGTTCTGTTGAACTTGTCCA